CGGGGGGGGGGGGGGGGGGAGGAGCAGGAGTACCACCTACATACACAGAACAAGGGGGTCTCATAGTGCAAACATCAGACTGTCTGGGTGTACAATGCAAGGGGGGAGCATTCAGGGGCCTGAGGCTTGCACTAGTGTAGCCCACACATCATATGACTAGCATTGGTGCAGCCTATATGGCATATGGCCACAGGCCAGTTAGAACAGGGGTTATCAACCAGGGATATGCTTACCCTTGGGGGTACTTCAGAAGGCCGCAGAGGGTACACAGCAGTGGGACAGAGAAATGGGGGCACTTCTGGTTTTGCTGCAGGCGCTACTGGCTTCGCTGCTGTGTGAGGTGGCCCCTGCCCTCCCCCCGCTTGTCAACCGGCTAGGGGACTCCCTGCTTCTTGACTTGGCCACTGGGGGTACACACCAACCAAAAAAAGGTTGAAAACCCCAGACTTAGAAGTTGAACAGCCCTGGTATAAGTATTATGGATTGGACTTCAGGGGGGTTTATCTATGCTTTACACAGCTCAATCAGATTTGATCCTCAGTAGCCTACTTTTTCATGCAAAATATATAGAAATGAATTTAAGGGCAGAACAAGAAATTGCTCAACAGTGGGTTTTGCAAGAAATTTATTCAAACATTTTGCCCCTTACAATTCAGTTCCAGGCATATGGAAGTCTCTACCCTAAATTGTTCCCAGAGGTTATAAGGATAAATGTAAAACCAGCAACATGGTGGTTGGTCTTCGCTGAAAAATACTTAGATCTGAAGTCTGTTACATGTGTGACTCATCTGCAAGTATGAACACCATCATCTGCTTCAGTCTAAAGAATTTTCTCAAATTCTAATTTCATCCAGAATAAACTAAGAAAGGGGTTAGGAGTGGACAAAACAAGCAAACTTCTAATGTCTTATAAACTGCTTAATGCCAAGCAGTTGAAAACAAAACCAAAAAACAGATTCTGAATCAGATTAGTAAACAACAGAGTGAAATGTAAATGTAGTGATTCCCCCCCATGTGTTTACTTTTCATAGGTTAAATATTATTTAAGAATATCATAAGCAGGACTTTCCTTTTAAGAATAACCTTGTGTTTTTAAATCTCACTCTTGAGTTTTCATTTTACATTAAAAAATATATATTTTCAGTGCTCTGTCTTGAATGTGTGTAGAGCAGGGGTCAGCAACATACAGCCCGGCAAAATACGTTCCATGAGCTGGATTTGGCCCACAGAACCCCAGAGCTTTATCTCTGTCCACACCAAGACTAGGCAGTGGGGTGCTGCACAAGGGCAGAATCTTTGCTGCCACTGCTTCTTCCCCAACCCTGTAGCCTCATCCCAGCTGTGCGTGAGCTTAACTTTCAGCTGGTAGGGAACTGTGCTCAGGTCCAGAAGTGGAAAGCTGAGTCCACACTGCTATCACTTCTCCCTCCCTCCTCCCCACCCCAGATTCCCAGCTGCAGTGCAGCTCTCCACCACCTAGAAGCTGTGCTCACGTGCCAGGAGGCTGAGAGAAGCGGTGACAACACCAGCATAGCTCTCAGCTGCATGGCTGCAGCACAAGCACAGGCAAACCCCCTCCGCTGGTGACACACCGAAGCCATTTGCACAGGCAAACCCCCTCCACTGGTGACACACCGAAGCCATTTAGCCTGCATCAGAGCCAGCTGTTCCAGCCTCCAGCTTGAAAAGGTATTAAATTAGCAGTTAGGAAGTTTATGTGCATTAGTTTAAATGAATATTTCTCTTCAAACACAAATATTTTTTTTTTTAAATCACTCATCATAATATATATAGAGAACTTCATCTCTTCTCACAATTTTTGTTTTTGAAAATTTCCTACTTGGGCCTAATGATACACATTTTCAAAGTATTGTGTATGTAGCCTTAAGAAGCAATGATACATTTTTCTAAGTTTGACAAGGAGGGAAGACCGAGAAAGGCTGCAACTCAATCAAGTTCTACTGGGTCAGTTGGCTGATGTGATTGCAGAGCCACTGGCCATCCATCGTCTTTGAAAATTCATGGCTATCAGGAGAGGTCCCAGATCATTGGAAAAGGGCAAACATAGTACCCATATTTAAGAAAGGGAAGAAAGAGAAGCCAGTGAACTACAGACCAGTCAGCCTCATCTCAAGCCCTGGAAAAACCATGGAGCAGGTCCTCAAGGACTCCATTTCTAAGCCCTTGAAAGAGGAGGTGATTAGGAACAGTCAGCATGGATTCACCAAGGGCAAGTTATGCCTGACCAACCTGACTGCCTTCTATGATGGGGTGACTGGCTGTGTCGATGCGGGGAGATGTGGTGTATCTCAATTTTAGCACGGCTCTTGATACGGTCTCCCACAGCATTCTCACAGGCAAGCTAAGAAAGACTGGAAGAAGGCCAATGTGGTGCCTATCTTCAAGAAAGGGAGGAAAGTGGATCTGGCAAACTATAGGCCCATCAGCCTGACTTCTATCCTGGGGAAGATCTTAGAAAAGTTTATTAAAGAGGCCATCCTTAATGGACTGGCCGATGCCAACATCCTGAAGGATAGCCAGCACGGGTTTGTTGCAGGTAGGTCTTGCTTGACCAATCTCATTTCCTTCTACGACCAGGTGACCTATCACCTGGACAAGGGAGAAGAGATTGATGTCATATATCTTGACTTCAAAAAAGCCTTCAATCTGGTATCCCATGATCACCTCTTGGTGAAACTGGCCAGTTGTGGCCTTGGGTCCACCACGATCCACTGGCTGGGAAATTGGCTCCGTGGTCAGACCCAGAGGGTAGTAATTGATGGAAGTCAATCATCATGGTGCCCTGTGACCAGTGGCGTCCCCCAAGGCTCTGTCCTTGAACCCATATTGTTCAACATCTTCATTAATGATGTGGACATTGGAGTCAGAAGTGGACTGGCCAAGTTCACCGATGACACCAAACTTTGGGACAAAGCATCCGCAGGAGAGCAATCCAGGCTGACCTGGATAGGCTCAGCAAATGGGCGGACAAGAACCTGATGGTGTTTAACACTGAAAAATGCAAGGTTCTCCACCTTGGGAGGAAAAACCTGCAGCACCCTTATAGGCTCAGCAGTGCTACACTGGCTAGCTGTAACAGGTAACGTTTCGGAGCGAGCCAAACTGTGACCAGCTCACCTGTTCCTGCGGCAACCACCCGCCTTCTCGCCTGCCATGCCTTGATGTTAATTAATTAGTTGATGTTAATTAGCAGGAGGCTGCCATTCTCCTGCCCCGTTGCCAGGGGGCGCGGTCTGCGGCTCCTTTCCTCCCCAATACCGCAGCCCAAGCCTTGCAGATGTAATCACCATTGTCTCAATACTATTCGACCCCTTACTGTTCTCCCCGGGCCTTCCTTCCTTTGCTGCCCCCTCCTGGGGCTTTCCAGTGCCCAACTTGGGCCTCCCTAACATGCAACCCCCCCTATCAGGGGCTCCCTGTGCCCAAACCTGGGGCTTTGCGACAATACTGCCCCCTATCTGGGGCTCTCTATGCCCACACTTGGACTTCTCAATGTTGCCCCCTTCCTGGGGCTCACTGTGCCCAACTTGGGCTTCCTAATAAATGCAGCCCCCTATCAGGGGTTCCCAGTGCCCAAACTTGGGCTTCTCAATAAAATGGCCCCCTTTCTGGGGTTCTCCGTGCCCACACTCCAGCTTCTCAATGTTGCCCCCTTCCTGGGCTCACTGTGCCCAACTTGGGCTTCCTAATAAATGCAGCCCCCTATCAGGGGCTCCCCACTCTGGGGCTCACCACACCCGCACTGGGGCTTCTCAAATGCCCCTCTCTGGGGCCGGGGTCTATGTACCCCGTGTGCTGCGCCTGCTGGCGCTGGGGTCCTCACACTCCACTGTGAGTGCCCTATGAGGCCTCCTCCAACCCCTTATAGCCTCACCCAAACCATTGGTTTAAAACAACAACAAAACACAAGCCCCTGGGCTGTAACATAAATTGAAGCCACCTGGCTAAAACAACATTGTTCAAGCCTCTGAGAGCTGCCATCAGCTGTCGCTGCGGTCAGGCTTTTCCTCACCTCCTGCCTTAGGGAGCTCCTGCCTCTCTGGCTCCTGGCAGAGAACTGCCCCTGGGCTCAGCTCCTTGGGCTTTATAAGGGTCAAGCCCTGCCCCCTCTGGTCAGCTGACCTTCCCTGGTTGCCCCAGCAACCCCCAGCTGCGCTCCTTAGCCACTGCTAGGACTCCTTTTCTAGCAGTTTTCCCCTCTTCAGGCACAGAGCCCGAGTGCTCTGTGACACTAGCACTACGGAAGAAAGAGACTTGGGAGTCACCATTGACCACAAGATGAACATGAGCCTGCAATGTAATGCTGCAGCTAGTAAAGCGACCAAAATGCTGGCTTCGATCTATAGATGCTTCTCAAGCAAATCCCGGGATGTCATTCTCCCCTTGTACGTGGCCTTGGTGAGGCTGCAGCTGGAGTACTGCATCCAGTTTTGGGCTTCACAATTCAAAAAGGATGTGGAGAAGCTTGAGAAAGTCCAGAAAAGAGCCACGCACATGATCAGAGGTCAGGAAAACAGACCT